CCCCAGACGGTGGCGCGGGGGCTGGAGAAGGTGGTGGTGTTCGAGGACGACCTGCGCTTCGAGATCTTCTTCAAGCGCCGCCTGATGAACCTCATGAGGGACCTGGAGGCCACGGGGTTGACCTGGGACCTCATGTGAGTCCGACTAATTAACCTCGCTTAATTAAACCACCCCGGGCCTTAACGAGGTCTGGCTAACGAAGGGGAGGTCTCGTAGCTACATCGGGAGGAAGAGGATGCAGGTGGAGAGGCCGGAGAAGCCGGTGGCCGGGGTGAGGAACCTGGTGGAAGCCGATTATTCCTACTGGACCTTGGGCTACGTCTTGTCCCTTCGTGGGGCTCAGAAGCTTCTGGAAGCTCAACCTTTGGGGAAGATGTTGCCCGTGGATGAGTTCCTGCCCGTCATGTTCAACAAACACCCGCTGTGAGGCTCCGGGGGGACGTTTTTTGGGGGGTGGGGGGTCATCTGGAGGTAGGGTTGGGGAGGTTTGTTCTGGGAGGTGGGGTCTTGTCACGTTGGAGATGGTTCTTGTGACCCTGGAGATGGTTCTTGGCCCCCTTGGAGATGGTTTTTTGTCCCCCCCTTCTTTTGTCAAAGCATTACTCAAGAAAGCATTTAACATTCTTCTGCCACATGCTTTCTTCATATAACTTCAAGAAAATAAAATTAAATTGAGATAACTGTTTCTACAGGTTCTGAGAGTACATTCAGAACAAAGAAACCTGCAATAAACGTGATGGAATTCTCCTCAAAACAAACTAAACTGAAACCACCCCCAGAGATGGTTCTTTGTCCCCCCCCAACTCTGAGATGGTCCTTGTCCCCCTGGAGATGGTTCTTTGTCCCCTTGGAGATGTCCTTTGTCCTCCTAGAGATGGTCCTTGTTTCCCCTAGAAACAGTCATTTGTCCCCCCCCAACTCTGAGATGGTCCTTGTCCTCCCAGGGATGGTCCTGGTCCCCCTGGAGATGGTCCTTGTCCTCCCAAGGATGGTTCTTTGCCCCTTTGGAGATGGTTCTTTGCCCCTTTGGAGATGGTTCTTTGCCCCCTTGGAGATGGTTTTTTGTCCCCCCCACTCCAAGATGGTCCTTGTCCTCCCAGGGATGGTAGTTCTCCACCTGGAGATGATCCTTGTCTCTCTGGAGATGGTTCTTGGTGCCCTTGGAGATGTCCTTTGTCCCCCTGGAGATGGTTTTTTGTCCCCCCCAACTCTGAGATGGTCCTTGTCCCCCTGGAAACGGTTCTTTGCCCCCTTGGAGATGGTCCTTGTTCCCCCGGAGATGGTCCTGGTCCCTCTGGAGATGGTCCTGGTCCTCCGTCCCCTGGAGGATCCTCTTCCTTTTGGAGCCTCCTCTTCCCTCTGGAGCTTCTTACCCCAGAGCCTCCTCTTCCTCTGGACCATCCTCAATCCCCTGGAGGATCCTCTTCCCTCTGGAGCCTCCTCTTCCCCTGGAGGATCCTCTTCCCTTTGGAGCTTCTTCCCTTTGGAGCTTCCTCTTCCCCCAGAGTTTCCTCATCCTCTGGAGGATCCTCTTCCCTTTGGAGCTTCCCCTTCCCCTGAAGGATCCTCAGCCCCTGGACCATCCTCTTCCCTTTGGAGCTTCCTCTTCCTCTGAAGGATCCTCTTCCCTTTGGACCATCCTCATCCTCTGGAGCTTCCTCATCCCCTGGACCATCCTCAGTCCCCCAGAGGATCCTCATCCTTTGGAGCTTCCTCTTTCCCTGGAGCTTCTTCATCCCCTGGAGGATCCTCTTCCCTTTGGAGCTTCTTCTTCCCCTGGAGAATCCTCTTCCCCCGGATCCTCCTCTTCCCCTGAAGGATCCTCTCCCCTTTGGAGTTTCTTCTCCCCCTGGACCATCCTCATCCCCTGGACCATCCTCATCCCTGTACCCTCCTCACCTCCCTCATCCCCCCCGTTCCTTTTCCTCCACCCCAACCCCTGGGCAGGGGGTGACCGACGCGCTTTTATTTTTTTCCCCAACGACTCATTTTTTCTTTCTTCCTCCTCCTCTTCCTCCTCCAGCTCCGACTACACCCGCCACTTCCCCCGGCGGGACCTGGTGGCGTTTTCGGCCGAGCCCTTGCTGGTTTTCCCCACTCACTACACGGGGGACGAGGGTTACGTCAGCGACACCGAGACCTCGGTGGTTTGGGACGACGAGGCCACGGCCACCGACTGGGACCGCGCCCGCTCCCGAAAGATGAGGGAGCAGGAGGAGCTGCGCCGCGAGGCCCAAAACTCCGACGTCCTCCAGTCCCCCCTCGACCGCGCCGCCCGCGACGAGCTCTGACACGGGGGGGGGG